GTCTCGGAGCGCTTAACAGAGGCGGAGCCTGGCACTGAGCCGGGGGATGGGGGAGGTGACCGTAAGGACTGTCGATGAGGAAGGTCTTCAGTCATGATCTAAAAGAGGGGAAGGAGGGGGCGAGGCGGAGGGATTGGGGGAGAGATTTCCAAAGCTTCAGGGGGTAATGGCTGAAAGCAGAGGGGACGGGGGACAAGCAGGAGGCCGGAGCCAGCCAAGCGGAGTGGGGAAAAAGTGGGTAAGAGAGGTAGGGAGGTGCCAGGACGTGAAGCGATTTGGAGACCAGATGAAAAGGACCAGTAATGGGGTGAAACAATTCTAACTTATCATTCGTGTGCAAATCATTTGTGGCATTAAATTTACGTGAAAATGGTTGAATAGAAATTTAACAGCTAAAAAAAATTCATCGTTTTTCCACACAAGTATATGTGAACATATCAATTTCACAAATCAGAAATATCTCACGTCTCCAACAAATCACGATTGGCTAGTCTTTCACCCGTGAACAAACTTCTGTAGTAACAGCATCTAACGACAATGTCCAAAATCTGATCTGATTACTGCTATTATTTAGCTTCAATGCACTACTTCATTCATAGGATATTTGCAGCATTTCTCTCCTGCTGGGATATTTTCTAAGTTTGTGCTGTAGTAAGGGCTAACTATAATAATAATAATCCTTGCATTTGATATAGTGCCATAATAATCCTTGCAATTGATTATAGCAGCTTATATAGGCCTTGGTGAAACATCTGTGTAGCAAAGCATTATTTAAGCAGAGGGTTTGGTGATCCTAAAAGCATTAATGGAAAAAAAAAAGCCGTAAATGTATTGGGTGGTCATTTGTTAAGTTGCCAATAAAATGTGAAGATGTAGTAAAAATACTCATCCAATCCAGTCAGAAAATATGGAAATATCCCCATTCAGATACGTGATTGACAGGATAACAGCACATTATTAATTCCACAGTTCTGCTGTACTGCATTGAGCAAAACTAACTACAATACTGTTTCAAGCATGCGAGAGTGCATCTGGAAACATCTGTCTACATAAGAGAGAAATAGACAGACAGGAAGACGAACATCTGTTCTTCACAGACCAGTTGGTACCAACTTTAATGTTTCTCCAACATCTATTCAATCTAACCAGTGTTCGTAAGCCTTTTGAAAAATCAGTGGAGTGCCGTAATGTAGTGATTAGAGCACTCGCCTTGCAAGCTCTCATCGGCAAACACTTCTGTTTTACCTGGTTAAACTAGTATGCCAGGAATACTCTGGGATCTCTCGGCTTTTTTTCACACCACTCTGTGCTTAATACTCTCTGGTATTAAGTAAATAGGGTGCATCTCTCCAGGGACACAATGTGCATTCCATTCCAGACACAGGGAAATTTCCATGAATAGGTGGCAAGCATATGTGGAAATCTCAGCTTGGTTTGGATACTCTTAAGCATGGTGATGGATTTCCATATGTGTCAGACACTCAGCTGACCAAAAAAAACACTTCACTCATGATATACCTTGGAACTGCTTGAAACTGAAGCAGATGCATTTCCCAGCACCTACATTCTTCACTTAATAAATCAAAATCATTCTCAAATGGCCTTGGACAAGGACCAGATGATGTAGGGTTTGAAACAGAGCTGGTGGTCAAGTCAAGGTTAGCCAGAGAAAACAGTCAAGGAGGCTGATAGTGTCTCGGCCAGAGGTAACAATGCGAGCACCGGAGCCAAACTAACATAAAGCCTCACAGAGCTGCACTAGTAATGGAATAACAAAAACAGTTGGGTGAGAAAAAATATACCCAGAGAGCTCTGTTGATTTCCTCTTTTTAGAAAGAACTGGAGAATTGATTGTTTGGTACATTCCAACATGTGCGGAAACCCATCTCCGTTGATTAAGAGTCTCCGAACCAAACTGCACCTACACATGGAAATCCCAGAGAGATTGTTGGGATGGAATGCGCTCTCTCTCTCTCTCCCTGGAGGGACACATCCGGTTTACCTACTTCCGGAAAGTATTAAGCGCAGGTTGGTAAGAGCCAAGGCTTGGGGGGAGCCCAGAGTGTGCGTTGGGGTAACTGCTGGAGTCTAACCAGCTAAACCCACACAGCTTGTCATTGATATCACTGTCTGGCCAGCCTTCCTGCTGCTTGTCCAGCTAAGGACCACCCTATCCATTAAGGCTTTGGCTGCAGGTTTAGCTGAGGGGGAGGATTCCCAGCCCCCAGTGACTGGTCCACTTTCTTGAAATCAGTAAAGCTCACCAAAACACAATAGTTGGTTAGCAGATAGCAAAGGGGTAAACAATTATTGAGGTGATGGATGTAGAATAGGGTAGCAGGTTCCTGCTAACTGGTCAATTAACTAACAACTGCAAAGTATAAATGACTCATAATCAGAGTTCAAAAGTAATTAGCGCTTTGATCGATTCCCTTTGCAGAACCCAAACTGAAGACTCGATAATAAAGGACAGCTTACAGTACACAAACCATCTGCCACTGCTACTATGAGCATCATGTTTCATCTTACAGACTTCTTTCCAGTAAACAAAACGCCGCCCGTCTGTTTTTAAACCACTGCATTCACACTGCTTTATCTCATTAACCAGTTAGTTACAGGCTAGTCTGCTAAAAGCCAAGCAGTCAGTACATTTCGCTCAAAATGTATTGTTGTATTACCAACCTTCATGTCATGTAAATTAGGCCATTTAGGAATGAGATCAGGAAGCATTTTTTCACAGAAAGGGTAGTGGAAATCTGCAGCTCTCTTCCCCAAAAGGCTGTGGACGCTGGACCCATTTACATTTTCCAGACTGATCTGGATAGATGTTTGTTAGATCAGGGTATCAAAGGATATAGGGCAAAGGCGGGTAATTGGAGTTGAGGTACAGATCAGCCATGACCTTATAGAATGATGTAACAGGTTCGAGGGGCTGAAAGGGCTCCTTCTGTTCCTATGTACCGTGACTGTATAAATCTCCACATAACTGGCTGACAACTAAGTGTCTGGGAACAAAGCCTAATCAGAGAATAGCGCTCATCTACTTAACTGTCATGACAAACCAACACCTTCAAATCTAAGATAAAAGCATCATCCGTGTCTACAAGGAAGGATTAAAGTCAAGCATGCGAATTACAGATTTATAGTGGATTGTGTCAAACCATAAGAAAACAGTGTAAACTAAAATTTGTTGAGACATCTCTATCACAACCACCAATTTGGACTCAAAGCAACAGCATCAATCAACCTGCCGCACTCCATTTGGTTGAAGCACTGACATTTCTAGAGCATTCAGTAGGTTGAGATCACAGATTTGTTGAGAAAAATGCCTCTCGTGACATTGCTGGAAAATTACTGAGCTAGACACACAGATTCCTTACAGGCTGCAGAAATCAGGTCACAGTAAATGGCTGCTCATTTTACTTTCCCGGCAACTACACGCAGGAGTCCCAATGTTTGGCCCCACTATCTTCATCGTTAACTAAATAAGTTAAACATTTCAGCCCTTTGTGAAGTTAAACACCATTGTGATGAGAGTAGACATGGTGGTGTACTATGTGTTATGTGGAGTCCTGTAGAGTAATGGTTAGATCACTAGCCTCGTAAATGACAGGACCTGGGTCTGATTCCTATGTGAAACGTTAGGCAAGTTTCCTTACTCCACACGCCTCGTCGAGACATCTCAAAGCGCTTCACAGACGATACTGTGAAGTGAATTGATTGTATGTTTTGTGGGCGAAACGCAGCAGTCAATTGCGCAGCAGTTACTGCTAGGTAAACAGAGGCATATAGAGTAAGGAGTAAGTGCTGAACATTTCACCCTGCCCGGGAATCAAACACAGGTCCTCTCGCTCGCGAGGTGAGTGCTCTAACCAATACGCTACAGGACTCTACGATGGCATTGCAGCACATGCGATTTAACTGCTGGTTTGGATTAAGCATCAGTGTCATGTTGCCTCGACTTCCTGATTCAAGACTGCATAAACTTTAGCAATAAACGTCTTCAGATTAAATTCTTGACCCCTTAAGTCATCACCGGTTTCGAATTACCAGGCAGGCAAAGGCCAGCAAACAGCTCATCTGGCATCTTAATCTGATTACGTTAGGTATCTGGGTGATTGTTCAGAAAACAGACCTGATAGAGGCTTTCAGCACACGGGAATCTGAAGACATGAGCGGAAGGCCCCTCTCTCTAGGTGCACATAACATTTCAAATGACAATGCTCTCGGGAATTTGATCTTGGAATCGACATGAAAGTCTTGTCAAACCCACAACGGCAAAGGAAGTTTGCCTTTCGTGCTTAATTGTTACTGCATGTGGGCTGACTAAATTAATGTTTAGTCAATCTGGCATATTGCAGAAATTTACCACGGACAGCATCGGGGTGGGGGGGGGAGGGGACGGGGGAGGGACAGGATATATTGCTTGAATAACCATTTGAAATGCAGTAATACTGAAAAACACTGACCTGTACTTACATGTCAGGCATCTCTGAATATAGTTGAAACTTTTTGCCTCTTTTCACATTAGTCAAAAATAGTACAGTAGTATAACTGGTTAAGTATTTCTTTATTAAAAACATATTTAAGAGGCTATTTTAGAGACTTATTCTATTTCACTTTGCAAATTGGTATAAAACATTGTGCATTATGTAAATAAGGAGTTTAAGCTAGTTATAGAACAAAGAATAACTGTCTTTACCTGAACAGTCTAAGAAAAGTACATGTACAAATATATACACACAGTGTATTCAAATATTCCTAAGGAAAATCAGAACAGCAGATATCTTACCATTTTACAACGCTTTTCAGCTTTGATCAGAAATCATATCCACATTCTGTTTCGTTTTACAATGCAGATTTGATTAAAAACAGACGTTATTACGTTGCAAAGGGGGCTGTTGAAATATACGTGTTCGTAAAATAAAACGGGCTGCACAACAATGCATGGCTACGTACACCACAACAGAAGCCTGAAAGTAAAACTGCGAGAAGTTTACCTTGTGCTGCCTCAAGTCCGGGTTGGTTACAAGCAGCAGACATTGACAGCTCCCCAGAACACAGTAACAGAGAACAATCCTCCGTTGTAAGTAAGTGAGACTATTTATATCGCAAGAATGCGTTGCAAGATAGGATTTTCATTCAGTTTTTTTTTCCAATTCCATATATAGACACAATAGCAATACACTGACTGTTCGGTTCCCTCATTGACATGCTGAGGAATAGAGTGTTGTGCAAACACTCGCTAAGCAACTACACTTCCAGCAATCAACAGGAGAGTTGAGTTGACCAATTAAAACTGCCTTCTGCACTTTAACAGCAGAGCAGAGCGTTCTGCACTCCCCTTCCCCCCCGTTAGGAGATGTCAGCAGCTATGTAGTCATTCCTGGCTGGCTACGTTGCTCTAATCAGAGCAAGCCGGCCTCACTTTTATTCTCATTTTCTAACCTAGTTATTTTCTATTTGGTGCATTCCTGTAGCTCAGTGGTTAGAGCGCTCGTCTCGCCAGCGAGGGACCTGGGTTTGATTCCCGGGCAGGGCAAAACGTTGGACAGTTTCCTGGCTCCACATGCCTCTGTATATCAGCAGTAAGTAGGAACCTGGCTGTTAGTCGATTGGCAGGTCACTTTTCCGGGGGTAATAAACCCTTCAAAAAAATTTGTTCACTCAATCCACGGCTGTTTGTGGGACGCTGCTGTGCGCAATTGGCTGCCGCGTTTCGCCCACAAAATACACAGTCAATTCACTTTACAGTATATTCTGTGAAGCGCTTTGAGATGTCTCAAAAACATGATAAGGCGCTGTATCAAATGCAAGGATTATTATTATTATTTGTTTGCACCTATGGGATAAATGACAACGCAAATTGAGGATTGAAGGATATTATCCCAATGGCAGACCTCATTGTAGGCACATGAGAAGAAAATGGGAAGAAAGTTCCCCAATTGATAAGATTATTTTTGAAAAAAAAGCATCAATTTGTTTCTCATACAAAGAAAATGTCAATTTTTGAAACTTAAATGAAGTGTAATATCAGGTGCCTTAGCGAAGGGAATATCTCCCTTCCATAGACTAGTTGAGAGAGTGGAAGAGAACGAAACATTCAGCCAACACGGAAGATGAACTTGCCTTTAATAAACCCAATTCACTCCACAGGATGAGATTAGTTTGGGTGATGCATGCAGCCAGTCTCCAAACTGCCTCAAGGGCAAAACTGCTCACTTAAGACCAGGAGTTAGATCAATATGGGTTTTTTGTGAAGACCTCAAAGTGCTCTCAGGTTGCCTATCTTAACGGGATGCCTATCCTGTTTGAATAGTTGCCAGCTATTAAAATGTACAACTCAACTGTCCAATGTAACTGTTGTACCACTTTTAAACCTATTAGGGACACACCTCCAAAGCACATTTGTCTGGAAGTTAGGTTATTAAAAATCATGCACTGTGAAGCTGTTTTATTACGACATAAATTATTCCTCAATGCTATCATGGATAGTTCTACAGTAAATCGCACTTAAGTCGTATCTGTTGGGAATAACCTTTAATATCACCTGGTCACTCAATCCATGACTGTTTATGGGACGCTGTGGTGCTCAATTGGCTGCCGTGTTTCGCCCACAAAAAATATACAGTCAATTCACTTTACAGTATATTCTGTGAAGCGCTTTGAGACATCTGAAAGACGTGATAAGGCACTATATCAAATGTAAGGATTGTTATTATTATTTATACAGTGATCTGTATCTTGTACTCAGAAATGTGTACAGTTTTGTAATTCACTGGGTGTAGATAACAAGGCAGGGTATATATTGAACAGCGTTCCAAAGTCAACCCTCTTTCACACATCTTAAATCTGTAACCACTCAACCAACGCTACATCACTTGATGCAAAGAACTCTTGATCTCCCCTCATAAATATTCATCCAAAATAAGATTCCTAATCAAAAAGCAATCACATAAAGAGCAAGGCAATTTATACAGTAGAATATTCAGAAGTGGGTTTGACACAACACACTGTGCCTGACACAGGGAAACCCCATGATAAATGGTTTACAGCTTCCTGTCTCTCACCCAGAAATGTAGACATGAAAATCTAGACATCAGTGCTAATTCCTGGGTACAGCATTGATGTTCAGAGAGAATGAAATGATGCTAACAGTGAATGATCTGGAAGGCAACCATTTTTAGCACAGAGTATATCATATTTTGTGGGCAATATGCTGCAGCCAATTGTACACATCAGTGTCCCACAAACAGTCGTGGATTGGGTGACCAGATTTTTTTTTGAGGGATTATTACCCATGGAAATCCATCCGCCAATCGACTAGGGTTTTCCGGAGACCAAACAATATTAATACTAACAAAGTTTCCTTTTGATAGTTTCAAAGTCGGGGTTTACAATTGGTTCCATTATTTTGTCAACATCTGACACGTTTGCCAATTGTGCATCTTGATCATTTGATTATGCTGATCACAAACACGGTAAATATTTATTTTAAGCCTTTAAGCCACGGTGCACAAATGGGACGAAGCGATATTTAGCTCCATTAACACGATATTGTCTTCCTCTAACAAACAGAGCAGCGAAAATAATCCAAAACAAAGGAATTTTCATTTGTCCCATAAACCAACTGAAATGTCAGAGTCATTAAACTGACATCTTTTCGGGTCAGGATCTGAAATAGAATAAGAACCGGGAACCAGCATAAATAAATAAATAAATACATCCAGGTTAGTTCAACTCCCGATCAGCGCTAATTTGATTTAACACACAATTTGTTACACACTGCAAACATTCAGCCCATCTGATGATAATATAGTATTGATATATTTACATTACCTACATCTATTTAAATACTAAATCATCAAAGCTGCCATAAAAAGACAAATTTTAGGGCAAACAACAATAAGTAGTAATTTTGCGGCAATGCCAGTGTCATCATCTGGAAATACTCGCCAGTGTATAAAGCACCCGGTGATGTGCAGACTCTTAATATATTTCAGAGAGTGGTGATTCTCACTCCTCGCTTTGCTGTGATTTGGATGTTTCTGCGCTCACAACACAAGTAGCCACGGCCAGGATCATAATAACTTCAACCAAACTACCGACCAACCAACCACCTTAATCCAGTGTGACTTATTGTTAAGACACACAATTACATTCATTAATCACGACCATCTAAATAACAACAACATGCATTTACACATCGCCCCTCATGTGGGGCACGTCACGGAGCGCTTGACAGTGGCGGAGCCTGACTCTGAGCCGAGGGGGGGGGGAGGGAGGAGGTGAAGAGAAAGATCTTAAGGTCCTCAGTCTGGATCTAAAAGAGGGGAAGGTGGGACAAGGTGGGGGAGCGGGATTGGTGGGGGGAGAGAGATCCAAAGCTTCGGGGAGGGAGGGGGAGAGAGAGAAAGAAATGAAAGGAATTCTGCCTGTTGTATGCTTGTTTTCCCCAGGTGGTCTCGAGACGGAGGTAACCGGCTGAAAATGCTGCTCATTAGCTTTGAGAGGTTTTGCCAAAGATTGACTTATGCACAACAAAAACATCTGGAAATCCTGAACACGAGCGAAAGTGTATTCTTTGTTCCCCTGCCACGATTTCTTTTGCTTTCTATCTTTGATGTTTATACCATTGGGGAGACAACAGCTGAGGAACATGTGTTAAATCAACCAAAGAAACAAAATCGCTTTGCAGCACAATCGAAACACGATGAAAACATACGTTTAACATTTCTGTTTTGCTATAATCCTTTTGCATCACTTGTAATTACGCTCTGAATCACACGGTCAGAAATAAAACAGCTTTTGTTAATAATCTAGCAACCTACCCAGGTTAGAATTTGGGATTCCAAAAAAAGTAAAAGCAATGTTTTCTAAATGTTTTCGTAAATCAAAATAACAACACCTTTACACTAACTGTTAAGCCAAATATTATTTTAGAGTTCTGTATTTCAGCGACCAAATCCCTGACTGTCCAGCGCCTTGGTTAAGAAAAGCGCTATACAAATGTAATTAGCTGTTGTTGAATTTCTGTTCAGGTTTAGTTTCAAACCACATTCAGTGGGTCGGAAAAATCTGCAAAATACGTTTGTAAACTATCCAGACCAATTGTTGATTTCAAAGCAGATGTTGGATACGTTTGTGAATAACATGTTTGTTTTCACTGTTAAAAGTTAACTCCTGGGAAAGAGAGATTTAATCAGCCCATTTTATTAGTGTTGAAAGGCAGTTGTTTTGCAACCCTGCAAGCCAAAGCCCTAACATATAAGGTGGTCCTCGCTGGACAAGCAGCGGGAAAGCTTGGTCAGACAGCGCTCTCAATAGCAAGCTGTGTGGGTTTATCTGGTTAGACTCCAGCAGTTACCCCAACACACACTCTGGGCTCCCCCCCAGCCTTGGCTCTCGCCAACCTGTGCCTAATACTCTCCAGAATTAGGTAAACAGGATATGTCCCTCCAGGGGGAGAGAGAGAGAGAGAGAGAGAGAGAGCGCATTCCATCCCAACAGTCTCTCTCTGGGTTTCCATGTGTAGGGGGGGGGCTGCATGGAAATCTCAGTTTGGTTTGGAGACTCGTAAGCAACGGTGATGGGTTTCCGCGTGTGTCAGACACCGGTCTGGGCAAAAAAAACTGCTGCATATTGCGTGGCTACTTATCCACCTCCCATTTACTCATAGGAACAAAGGAACAGGAGTAGGCCATTCAGCCCCTCGAGCCTGTTCCACTATTCTATTAGATCATGGCTGATCTAATGCCTTTGCCCCATAACCCCTTGATACTCTGAAATAACATAAACCTATCCACCTCAGTCATGAGAATGTGATTGCATTCAGGATCCACAGCCTTTTGGGGGAGAGAGTTCCAGATTTCCACTACCCTTTGGGCAAAAAAATGCTTCCGATTTCACTCCTAAGTGACCTGGCTCTAATTTTAAGATGATGCCCCCTCTTGTGCTGGATTGCCCCACCAGAGGAACTAGTTTCTCTGAAGTTACCCTGTCGAATCCCTTTATTATTTTAAACTACTCAATCGGATCACCCCTCAACGTCTAAACGCAAGGGAATATTATCATGGTTGGAAGTGTTACTGATGTGAGGTCTGCTCTGGAGGATGGAATATGAGTAATCTGCTCGTGGCTGGTCAACAATGATAACAATTCCACACACATTAGTCTCTCTGGCTGTCCTCACACTGTGAAAACTGATTTTAGTTATTTTTTCCTTTTGTCCCACCAGCA